AGACTTAAATAAAATAATTAAATGAATTCTATAGAACCTTGAAAGATTATTAGTGATATGAAGGAAAATACAGCAAAGAGGAATAGGAAATGCATAAGAGGGCAGGAGTACAATTGGAAATTTGGTGATGGGGTGAGACTTGAAGGAAAGAGCCACAAAGTATCTAACCAAATGGGACAATGTCCTAGCTAGAGGACATTAAGAAACCAGGGTTCTAGGACACAACAAGGAAGCCCAAACAACCAGAATAGAGTGGTTGAGGGAGAATGTGGTTCAGAAGGGAGGTCAGAAAGGGCATAGGTTCAGAATCTGTGGATTTAGTAGCCTTTGTAAGAATTTTGGCTCCTGGTCTGAGATGGGAAGTCCTGGTGGGGTTTTAAGAGAATAGAAACATGACCTGATATGCATCTTAATAACAGTGGCCCAAGGTGGATGTTATGGTGGTACAGGGGAGGGTAGTGTGACATGTTGGATTCTACTTCTACTTTGGAGGTGGAGCCAACAGAATTTCCTGACAAGGGGTATGAAAGAAAGAAGAGCTAGCAATGACTCTGGGCTTTTTTTTTTTTTTTTTTTGGTCTAAGCTACTGGAAGATAAGATGGTCATAAACAAAGATGGAGCAATAAATTGAGTGGAACGTTTTAGGAATAGATAAAAAATTAATTGTGGTGGTATTGAAATATCTTTTAGACTAACAAATGGAAATATCCAACAGGCAGTTAGCTATCTGTATATGTCTGAGGTTCAGAGGGAGGTCCCCAATAAATTTTTATTTGGGAACAGATAAGTAGTATTTAAAACCATGAGATTAAGATGAGTATAGATAGACAGGGAAGAAATCCAAGGACTGCTTTGAAGCACTTTAATGTTAAGATGCCCTGGAGGGCTGGGGGTGTGTTCAATGGTAGAGTTCTTGCCTAGCCTGTGCAAAGTCCTGATCCCCAGCACTGAAGAGTAAAAATGAAGAAAAAAAGAATGTTGTGTCCTTGAATTCAGATGAAGGGTTTCGAGAGGAATCGAATGGTCCAGTGTCTCAAGGACTGCTGATAAGTAAGGTGAAAACTAAGGATTCACTATGGAATTTAGCAACCTGGAGGTGAGACAAAATAATTTCAGAGATGAGGGGAAGGGCTCATGATTGGAATAGATTAAGAGAAGGTGGAAGGAAAGGAATTGGAAAGAGTAAATATGGCTAATCTTGAGAAATTTGGCTGTAAAGAAGAAAGAGAAATGGGGAGGAAACCAGAGGAAAAAAGACTTCAGAATAGGTTTTCTGAAAGATGGTACTACAAACAATTCAGGGGAGAGGAAGAATTGCTGAAGAAATATCTTCAAATAGGTAAGAAAGGTGGCATTTAGTGGAGAGGTTGGCCTCAGGATCATGGACAACTTATATTAAGGGAAGGGGTCAGATTGTGGAGATGTGTTGATAGCAGGTAGATATGGGGTGGGCATTAGCAGAGGTCTGTTTTGTTGGTACCAGGGATTGACCCCAGGGGCACTTAACCACTGAGCCACATCTCCAGCCCTTTTTTACATATTTAGAGACAGGGTCTTGCTGAGTTGTTTCAGGCCTTGCTAATTTGCTGAGGCTGGCTTTGAACTCTTGATCCTTCTGCCTTGGCCTCCCAAGCTGCTGGGATTACAGGCATGCACCACTGATCCCAGCTTAGCAAAGGTTTTCTGGTTGCTTCATTCTTCTCAGAGTAGCATCAAGTGAGGTCATTGGCTGAGAGTAAGGGTGGGAAAGAAACTCACAGGTTGGAGAAGTTATAAAACAAGTTATTCAGAAGAAGGTTAGAAGATGAATAGACCAACATGGTAACATGTGAATTCTTGTCTCACTCAGACTGTATCTTCTTTCTGATTATTTTTTACTTTTTTTATTTTTCTAATATCCAACATAGTGCTAGCATGCAGATGCTCAATAAGTGTGCAAATTAATTTCACAAATGGAATCATTTATAACTAATTGTGCATTGCACTTAGTATTCTAAACACCTCACCCATTTATTATACTCATTCTTAGTGGCTACCTGATTGGCATTTGGAACCACACTGAGATGAGATCCTCAAGAGAGTGAGAAGTAGGTATTACTATCCTCAGGTGACAGGTGAAGAAACAGACTTTGTATTTGGCCTCACAACTTGCTCAAAGTTGGCCAGCCATCACGGGATAGTGCAGAGATGTGAATCTCAGCCTGTGTGACCCTCAAGCCCAAGATGTAACATGGCCCTGGCACTCATCTTGCCTACCTACTTTACCTTTACCATGGGAACTGTGGCCCAGATGGCTTTGCACATGTATCAAAGCTGAGCCTAAAACCAAGACTTATCCAAATACGGGGCCTTTTCCACTACCATCTTCCAATGTCCATCATATCTTGGGATCTGTCCATAGTTCAGTTCCCACTATCACTTGCTGGCTACCCTTAACAGCAGTTGTAGTGTACAGTCCATAGCCATGAAGCACCCGGTCCTTTGGAGAAAGGATCTTGCCTGCACTGACACAGTCATCCAGAAGGGGGCGGTCATATGCACAGAAATGCTCCTGCCCCACCCACAGGCTCTGCTTGTATCCCTCCTGTTTTCAGCCTTTCCCTGAAGCCAGCCTTTTCCTTTCAGCTTTTCCCTGCAGCGCCTGATTGCTCAAGCGAGCAGTATTTCTCCAAGAGTGATTTCCCCCAGGTGGCATTTGGCAATATCTGGAGATGTTTTGGGTTGTCATAAGTGGTGCTTAGAAACAAAGCATGCCCCTAAACATTCTGTAATGCATAGGACAGCCACCCTCCCCCAACAAAAAAATATTTGGTCCAAAATGTCAGTTGGTGCATTGAGAGGTTGAAAAATCCAGCCCTAAACGAAAACTTGTAAACAGTCTGTAAACTGACCCAGAGGAACAAATGGAAAATGACTTCAATATCAAACAAAGCAACTGATAAAAAAATAATTTGTGGGGGCTGCCCTTCTTTGGGGAATGTCAAAGATTTTGAGGGATAAGTGGATCTTGACCTATCACTGACTGACTGTTGCCAGCAGTGTGCTGAGCCAGAATGTGTGTGAAGATGTGCTGTTGACCACCTGGGGCAGCTGAGAGAAGAGATGGTGTCCCTTATCATCCAAGGACTACATACTGTCTCGTGTCTCTCTGAGGAAATGATCCTTCCTGTTTTGTGGAAACATTCTCTGCCTCCAAACCTTCTGTGATGTTGAAAACCTGTTCTTGCAAAACCATAAGCTATGCTTGGAACTCAGCAATGTGCTGCTGGTCCCTGGCCCGAAGCACTTCAGAGAGTCCCGAGAGTGGTTGTCAAGGTCCACCAGCCTGATCAGCATAAACTTGCATTCCAGTTGTGACATGCTACCTACCTCCTCTGGAACTGGGAATGCTCTTCTGAAACATGCCCATTTTGGAAAGCCCAGGCGTTTACCCAGGCCTTACCTGAAACAGATCGTCTCCAAGTCAAGAACCCAGTGTCCAATGAAATATTATCTGTGAATCAAGCCACTCCACTATTTCTCACTAGGTAACTCTTGTTCAGCAGAACACAGAGCAGAAGCAATGAAGACCAGTCCTAAGCCTTGGTCTCAGTTTTGTTCTACAGTACAACTATCTTCCTCTCTTTCCTTCATGCCTAGAACCTATTATGAGTATCTAAAAACACACGAACTATAAACCTAAAGGCAGTTTATGACAGAAAATATGAAACCATCTTTAAATGATATCCAACCTACAGGTTTCATTGGAAACCAAAATAGTCACCCTCTTCCTTATAGTACTTTATCTGACATGCAAAACGGGAGGACATCTAGGAATCAAATACAGCCACAAAACTGGGATTTGGATACCAATGTCTACACAGCTAATTCAAAGGCTTTTTTTTTTTTTTCTCCAAGTACTCGGGATTGAATCCAGTGGCACTTTGCCACTAAGCTATATCCAGAGCCCCTTTTTTATTATTATTTTGAAACCAGGTCTCACAAAGTTGCCCAGGCTGGCCTTTAACTTGCAATCCTCCCACCTTAGCCTCCTGTGTAGCTGAGGTTACAGGTATATGCCACAGTTCCTGGCTCAGGATCTGCTTCAGATAAGGGGAAAGAAAGCAGGGTATAGACATCTGAAAGGCAGAGCATTATTAGTGCTTCCTTGCTGGCTTCAGTTTAATAGACTACTGTGCTCCTGAAATTTAATAATAATTATTATCATCATCATTATTATTATCACTTATGGAGTGATAGTTCTGTGGACCAGACCCTACACCCAGCACTACCCAGGTAATCTATCTCCATACTTAAAGTACTACCAGGAAATGGGTTCTCTAGCCAAGGATACTAAAACTTTAAGAAGTCAAAAAATGTGTCCCAGACTACCAGGAAAGGGTAAAGCTGAGATTTGAACCTTGGAAGGCAGATATTTTAAATGTGCTAAATGAGTTTGCTCTCGATGAAATCTGAACTGAATCTCTGACCAAAAAGCTCCTTGTCTCTCTTATAAAGTCTTAATTTGGGTGATGTTAGGACCCATAACATGGTCCTATAGCTTTGTGTGCTTTCTTGTGCATAACACACTTGGTTTGCATCGCAAAGTGAATGGTATGAAAACCATGGGATTTGAAGTCCAAGATGCCCTTCCACTGATCATAAGCAGTTAGACCACAGACATCACTTGACTCTCTCAAATCTTAGTTTTCATACCCTCAAAGTGCAGTGAGTTTTAGAGTATACGTCAAGTGTCTTGCAGATCACTGAAATTATTGTTGTTGATATTATTGGTCAATTATTGTTGTTGATATTATTGGTCAGTCACTGAAATTATTGTTGTTGATATTATTTAGATATGTTCTTTTGGGGTTTTGCTGTGGAGATTTCAAATTACACTGGGTGTTTCAAACTTTTCTCTGGCATCTGTGTTTCACGGATTGCCAAAGACAAGAATGAAGAATCATATTCACACTTAGGAAAACACTGGTGTAAAATATGTTTGTGTTTAAAACTTTAGGAACTGCCCAGGTCATCACAGATGGCCAAGTGGAATATCAGCCTCTTTCAGGCATTCGATATATGTGGTGGTACCATTTAATCGGCCTCATCTGGACTAGCGAATTCATCCTTGCATGCCAGCAAATGACGATAGCAGGGGCAGTGGTTACGTGCTATTTCAACAGGTAGGTCCAGCCTTGTCTCTTACTGGAATGTCTTTGTGCTCCACGTTGTGTGTCTCAAAGATGTTTGGGAGTTTTGACCTGACTCTCTAAAAGGGGTTGACAAGAGTGAAAGACTAAGCTAAAAACTCAGCTCAGACTTAAAACTTTGGACTTAAAAAAGGTATAGGGGCTGGGGCCATAGCTCAGTTGGTAAGGTGTTTGCTTTATATGCCAAGGCCCTGGGTTCAATCCCCAGCACCAAAAAAAAAGCTACTAGTCTCACCAAGTATGGTGGTACACACCTGTAATTCTAGCCAGTCAAAAGGCTGAGGTGGGAAGATTTCAAGTTGAAAGCCAGTCTGGTCAACTTAGTGAGACCTTGTTTCAAAATAAAAATTTTAAAAAGTGTTGGGTTTAATCCCAAGGACTGCCAAAAAAAAAAAAAAAAAAAAAAAGTTGCTAGTCTATTTTGCATATACTTCAATAATTCTGGGTTTTTTGTTTGTTTGTTTTGGGTTCGTTGTTATTGTTGTTGTTTTAGTGTAAAACTGGCAGAATGTTTACCTGGAAAATAATTTTAAATCCTAAAGGAATCATGTGTAACTATAAGCTATACCTCATGTCCATGTAGTTAAGTACTAGTGAATGAATTACTTGCTTCTATGTTAAAATTATAGACATTACCTCACGAAAATAATGGAAGACACACACACACACACACACACACACACACACACACACACACACACCCTACACACACCTGAACCCTTCGCCTCTCTTGTGTGTGACTTTACCAGCAATGAGACTGCAGCCGGAAGAGCAGGCCTGGGACAATGACAGGCTTGGACTCCGAACAGGAAGTTTACTCCCGATAGGGCTGATCCTCCTCTAATCTCTCAGACCAAATGAGTAGATAAACATGACTTTTTCCTGAGGTAAGAAAGTCAACCAGGGGTGATTCATGCCATTGACAGTTACCTCCTGACAATAAAGAGCACTGTGGGTTTTTAATATAATGGTGCTGTTTGGGAGCCCCATCATTAGGGACTTTGGAGGACCCACTAAGGGGCTGTTGCTCTTGGCATTAAGACTCCCCCCAGCAGCTGGGGGTGGAGGAGCTGCTTGCTCCTGAGTAGGAGAGCAAAACTCATCCTAGCCAAACTGGCCAGTGGTAACAGTTGTCAGGCAGAGAGACCCTGTGTTATCTTAGAATAGCAAAACCAAAGCATTCTCCGCGGGGGGCTTTGATGTGGAGCTCAGTGAGGCAGACACATTTATCTCAGAGTCATTCCCCCCTCGCCAACCCTCCCCCCAAAAAATAAAATCATGAAAGAATGAAAAAGGAGTAAACACACAACCACAGTGAGAAACAGAGACGCAAGGAAAGTGGATAAGAAACATGACATTAACAGAATGGCCAGGGCAGCAAGGGGTGACTGGCCATGTGGGGCAAAGCTGAAAAGGCCTCCGGCATGTGTTGGCTTTTGAGAAGGTGCAAACAAGATACAGGCTGAAGTGAGTCACAAAAAATCCAGAGAGGCTCAGGAATTTAAGTGCAAAATGTAACCCTGGAGGTTAGTTATAAGTTCTCCTGAGGAGCAGTTAGAACCCTAAATCCCTCCTCCAGATGCGCAGAAGAGACCTTTGCTTTCTGGACAGACCAACTAGAGAGGGTCTGGACTTGGGGTGTCTGGCACAGCCGAGGCTGGGGGCAAACTCAGTAAGGAAGCGGGGGCGGAGGAGGGTAAGTGAGAGTCTAAATGCTGAAGAGGGAGAATTCCCCCATCACCAACACCCCACATTCCATAGCTCAGTTCCCTGTGTGTTGGCAGCGAGGCTGATCCCCTAAGGGGAGGCTAGGGGAATCTTCTGGGAAAAACTTTCAAGCCCAAGGCACAGGCCGGAGATAGTACCACATGTCCCCCCCCCCTCCCGCCCCCCTGTGAGATGGATTTCCTGACTCCTAACCACTGACCCTTGCCAGGCACCAGGCTGCACTCCTCACACGGTATCCAAGCCATTCTGAAATTGGAATTGTTAACCAGTGACTATTACACATTTGATGAAAACCACTAAAATAAGAGAGAAAGAAAAATGAACAAAACAAACAAAAGGGATTTAGAGAATTTAGCCTATACAATGTCGGCTGCAAAAGAAAACAAACAAACAACAACAAAAAAAGCCCTGTAATATTATCAGAAAGAACAGATATATTGCAACCATAAACAAAGCCCCTTCCCCACATCCTCCACCAAAAAGGAACAGTGAGATAGCAAGGAGGACCCCTTAATAATTAAAAATTGCAAAAGTGAAAATTTTCCATTGAATGATCGGAATATAATGTTGAAAAATTCTTTTAGAGGGCAGAATAAGACACAATTAGAAAATGGCAGAAAGGGGAAAAAAAAGTTGGAGTTATTTAGGAGAGTTACCATCTGACTAATAGGAGTTCTAGAAACAGAGAACAACAACAAATACAGAAGTAAATAAATAATCAAAGAAAATCTCCCAGAACTGGGCTGGGGCAGTAGCTCAGTGGTAGAGAGCCTGCCTCACACGTGTGAAGTACTGGGTTTGATCCTCAGCACCACATAAAAATAAATAAATAAAGATGTTGGGTTCATCTACAACTTAAAAAAAAAAATTCCTGGGACTAAAAACATAAGAAAATAGCCCAGAATTTTCTCTCGGGGGAAAAATAAATAAAACATGACAAAAGATCAAGAACCAAAATGGGATCTGACCTTCAGTAGCAACTTTGAACCAGAAAAGCAAAAGAGCAAAGAAAAGACTATTTCCAGGTTTTATTTTATTTATTTCCTAGTTTTATTTATTTATTTCCAAGACTATTTCAGAGTTTTATACCTATTCCCACCATCAATTCAGAGTAAAGGAGAATAAAGTCAGGCTCACGAACACAAAATCCCCAAAGGTCTCCTCCCCACACCCTTTCTAGGAAGCCCATTCCCAACCGAAACTCATGAGTAAGCCAAGGAGGAAAACATGAGTTTCAGAAAAGAAGGGAAGGGAATTCCCTAGAAGGTAGTCATGTAGCCATTGTTGAAGAAGAAGAAGGAGGAGGAGGAGGAAGGAGAGGAGGAAAGGGGAAGAGGAGGAGGGGGAAAAGGAGGAGGGGAGGAGAAAGAAGAGGAGGGGGAGGAGGGGGAGAGAGAAGAGGAGGAGGAAGAATGAGAGGAAGGAAAAGGAAAAGAAGAGAGGAAGAGGAAGAGGAAGAAGAAGAAGAGGAGGAGGAGCCAGTTCAAGATGGAACTGGAAGACAATGGGAGCAGTGGTTCCAGGAGAACTCTCCAAAAAGACAATGTCTTTAAAAACACAGTGACACTTAGAGGAGACTAAATGTGCTTGGATATTTTGATGAAGCATTCAGTGAAATCCATGGAAAACAAAGGGAATAAAAAATGTGATGTCATTATTAACTCCAGGAAAAACTGAAAGTTATACAGGGAACAAAATAGAATTGGAATATGCTTCTTGGGTAAGTTGTGAATATTATTCACCATACATTCTACTTTTGTACTAATAGTGTGAACATGAAGCATTAACTAAAAATTTCAACATAACTCTATTGGGAAGAAGTTCAGGGTGAAACATGAGTGTGTCGGGTGCGGGCACCAAAAAGAGAAAAAGAAAAATGAAGAAATAGCGGTAAGAACACAGGATTTTAAAGTGTGGAGTTGTATTATGGTAGAAATAGCTTGATTATTATCTTTAGGGAAAGATTTAAGGATGGGTAAAGAAAACTACTCTTTTTCCCATTAAGTCCACCAGTATTATTTGGCTCTTTAAGATGCTTTGCCTATTATTTTCATAAAAATAAATTAATTTAAAATAAAATGTGGGATAATTTCTTTGTAACATTACTATTTCATTTATTAAGAACTTCTGCTTTCTTTTGGGCTGTCTGCCTAATTTTGAGACCTCAAGCTTTTTGCTTATCTCAAAGTTCACAATGCCGTGCCTGCCCTGCACAGTGAGGATAAATACCACAAGAGCGCATCACCTTTGTTACTCTTTTAAGCCCTAAAAGGTCTGAAGAGTTCATACAAAGACCACCAAGTACCAGGACATGGGCAAGCCCTAAAATTTACCTTGTACAATCACTTGCTTGAAAAGGGGTCAATAGAGACCCATAAAGATGCTACTTAAAGCCAGCACAGTGGTGCACACGTGTAATCTGTGCTACTGGAACCGTGAGACAAGAAGATGGCGAGTTTGAGGCCAGCGTTGGCAACTTAGAGAGACCCTGTCTCAAAATAAAAAAGGTCTGGGGATGTAACTCAGCAGCATAGCAATTGCTTAGTATATGCCAGTCCCTGGATTCAACCCCCAAATACTGAAAGAAAGAAAAAAAGAAAAAGAAAGAAAGAGAAGGAGAAGTACTGCTTAGAGATGTAGTTGGAAGAAGCTAGAATTGTTCAACTTGGAAAAGGGACATTGGAGGCATGACTTCATCATTATTTTCAAATACACAAGAGATGGTTTCCAGCTGCTCTGGATCTGCTGGTGAAAAGGTGAAGGAATGCATTCACAGCAGAGCATAAAGAATTGAGGTAGATATGGGTGAATTTCTAACCCTACCAAGAATTGCCCAGGAGAGCTAGGGAAAAAAAAAAAATCTGTTCTTCATAATAAAGCCAGTTTCTATTTTCTGTAGGACTGGAAAGATTAACTCTATAGCCTCCCAGTCCCATCTTGCAGTGATTTTGCTGAAAGAGACATCAGGAAGGGACAGGGTCTTTGTGGAAGTCACACGGTTCAGCTTCACTCAGAAGCTGAGTGGGAGAGGCCAGTCATCTCCTGCAGCCCAGACTTTGTCCAGGAGACTTAGACAAACTTAATTTTCCATTACATTTAAAGAGTGTTTAGTGCACTGGGCTGGATCTAACTAGAACTAAAACTTGTTTCTAGGACCCTGAAGTTGCTTGATTGGTTTTAGGCTCTGTGTTGTCTGATGCGACTACAAGTTGAAAAATGGTACTTATATATCATGACCTGAAGGTGCTATAGGACTTGTGTGGGTGGGACCATTAAACCCTTTTCCCAGCAACGTGGACTAGTGTAGTGTTCTGAGGACCTGGCTCTGCTGTATGGGGCAGGAGACCTTCAGCATTCAGGCAGACACGGCTTTAAAAGGAGAAGGAAGCTGGACTTCATGGGAAACATCCTGGAGTCCCCTTACCCTCTAACACTGCCTGAGTCTTCCTTACTGCCCTCTCTCATAAACTTGAGGGGATGAAGCCCAGTCAGAAGGTTCCCAGCACACGCCACCTGTACCCCCAACCCCTAGAGACAGCTGAGTGAGCCTGATGGGAGCCCTGGTCCTCCCCAGCCTCCTAAGGAACTCATCACCGAGTTACCCAGTGTGCTCAACACTGCAATGTCAATCCTTGAAATACAGTGAAGTCCAGAGCTAAGTATTATTTTAAGCTTGTTAATATAGAATAGAGTCTAAGAAGAGAAGGTGGTGGCCTCAAAGACACTCCTCTTAAGCCTTTTTTTTTTTTTTTTGGTAGTGCTGTTTCTAGTTTTGAGGGAAGGTGTTGAGTGACTCCTGGCACAGTGAGTTGGCTTGGGTTAAAAGGACCTTCTTTTTAAGTTCCCTCTCTCATCATGTGATAACCCAGCTGCTGGAACCTCTGTATCTTCTTCCAGCCAAGCTCTGCAGAGCCTAGAGTCATAACCAGGGTATGTTATGGACTAGGGAAATAGAGGCAGTGCAGGCTCCCCTCTATTTGAAATGGCTCATATCACTACAGTGAAATCTTCTCAAAAAGCTCGCATCCAATCCCAGACATCAATACCTAGAGGAGCAGACCCTAAGGGCCCCATTCACAGAGGCCTGTGAATCATTTGGTTCCCTCCCAGATGGAAAGTAGGTGTCCTTCTTCTCTCCCCAACCCCATCCTAATCTCTTCAGCACCATAATAAGTTCTAAGGCACATAAATCTCAATAGAAAAGTAAACATTCTTCCTTTTTAAAAAAATGAGAAAAGGGGAAAAAATGTGTCAGATTTTCCTGGCCTGTGCTACTCTGGTAGTTTATCAGATCAGAATGAATTCCTCTCAGTGACAGCTTCCCTGGTCTTTCCATCTCCAACAAGGCTGGGTTGAAACACGGCACCCCTTTGTGGACAACTGGGTTACAGTTCTTCTGCACCCAGTATTACTGTCATGTTCTCTTTTTCTTCCTGGATGATTTAAGTAACAGAGAAATGCAATGGTTGCCAACTCTTGAAACATTTCTGGCTGCAGTCCTTTCCTCTCTCAAAACCCAGGCTGTTGTCAAAACCTTGATTCATAGTGACTTATTAGCAACCCGGGCAAGTTGTAGAATAATCTATTCTGAAGAAAGCCAGCTTCACTTGCAATCCATGGCGTTGCTTCTCAGAAAGGGCCTCGTTTTCTAGAGCTGGTGTCCATGGGAATTCAAAAGGTCTCCCCCAAGGTCGCCTCAGCCCTCCTTTGTTTTATCCCCGTCAGGTTCAGGGCGGAGGAAAAACTGTGCCCGTTCTGTTCTTTTTTTACTCTTTTTCTCTGCCTGTGAAACTGACTTGGACACATTCTTGGGAGCTGTGTCAGGACAAGTCCTGTAAATGATTCACACTAAAGTGACCTTTAAAGAGTAGGGAGGAAATCAGCTGGATTTCAGGAGCCCAGAGCTGTGCAGAAGCCAAGCACCCGGGAGCTCTGTGTCCCTTCCCTTTAAACTTGAACTCACCGTTAACCTCACTGGCCCTGGTCCTGGTCATGTGATTTGGCCATGATTTTAATCATCAAGCTGATGCTGGCCGTATTTTACATATGCGCCTGTGTAATTGAAACCTTGGAGATCGTGATAGAATCAAACTTCCGAAAATGAGATGAACGGGCTACTTGAAGGGTTGGTGGAAGGAGTAGGAGCCGTAAAGAGGGAAAGTCGTTCATTTTAACTCATCACCATTTTCAAAATAGTTTTTTTTTTTTTCTTTCTGTTCTGTATTTGTTTGTTGCATTGAATGCCACTGAAAGGAATCACATTAGTCCAGGATATAATGAATGTCACCTTAGCAACCAAGGAGTATAAAAATTTTGCTGAATGCTTATTGCATCATTGCTTTGAAAGTTGTTAGTGCCATTGATGATTTGAACAGAGAAGGGTTTTTTGGTTCCTTTTTAACAATGGTTTTAAAAATACTCTTTTTTTTTTTCCTATTCCCAGAAATAAAAATGACCCTCCTGACCATCCAATCCTTTCGTCTCTCTCCATTCTTTTCTGGTACCATCAGGGAACAGTGGTAAAAGGGTCTTTTTTAATCATGGTGATGAGGATTCCAAGAATCATTCTCATGTGCATTTATGACACCCTGAAAACGAAGGTAAGGCTGCACCTAATAGAGAAGAGCTGAGGACTGGCGGCTGCAGAGGGTCCCAGGACAGGACCCCTGACAGTGGCCTTTCAGACTCCCCCCAACCCCCACCCAGACCTTGTTCCCAGCCTCTGCTGTGCCGTGTGGTCTTGTGTGTTGGGTGGAGAGGGTGGGCAGGGAGAAGTTCTGGTTAGCTGGCTTTCCTTCTTATTTAAATGCTGAAATACATGGACTGAATTCTGAAGGTGAAATTTAAGCAAGGTTTTGTGGCTATTTATCATGCTTTTTTTTTTTTTTAAGTAAGAGAATACTTTATAAGATAGGAATAACATTTCTTTCAGTTTTGTTTGTTTGTTTGTACCAGGGATTGAACCCAGGGGCACTTAACCACTGAGTCACATCCCCAGCCTTTGTTTATATTTTGTTTAGAGACAGGATCTTGCTGAGCTGCTTAGGGCTTCCTAAATGGCTGAGGCTGGGTTTGAACTCTCCATCCTTCTGCCTCAGCCTCCTGATCTTTCAGTTTTAATGCTCAAATATTCCTCGCCTGTTTTGTTTCCAAGAGGGTGTCCTAGGAACTTCCTGGTATGCAAGAGGAAGAAATAAGGGGGGACAAGGGAGTTAGAATAGTGTGTGAGAGACAAAGTATGTGTATGCAACTGTGTGCAAGGGTATGTGAGTGTGTTGGTATGTGTGTGAGAGTATATGTATGAACACACACACACACCACACACACACACACACACACACACACACACACACACACACACACACTTGAAAGTGAGAAATGGGCAAGCTGACCTACATCTCAGCTCAAAGGACAGAAAAACTGTAGGGCTTTTGTGCTGGGGTCTCCTCCCTGGTTTTTATTTCCATGCACATTTGGGTATGAATGCCAGTGGAAACCAGAACACCAGGAAAACAGCTGTTCTCATGGTATTTCTGTCCTGCCAAACAAGGGAAGATTGGACTTCCCCCAACTTTTTGGTTCTCACACAATGCTAATCTCTCCCCACCCCCACCTCAGGGTTCCTGATTTGGCCAGAGTTTCACAAACCTGCCTGATCCCCACCCTTTGTGTATAGTTATGTGTCCTTAGTATATTGGGGGTAGTTTTACACATGGGGTCATATGATACTTTAGAATTATTTTTGTTTTGGTCTTTTAAATAGAAATCTGAGTTGTTGATACTTTTCAATCCATAATCAAGATTTAAGGTTAGTCTATCACTTAGGAGCAATGGATTCAATTTCACATAAAATTGTCTGGCTTCCTTAATCTTGAGATGCATGCTAAGCAGCTGCCCACTGATTATATTTTCTTCTATTTCCATGAAAATCTTGCCTGGTGACTTAAAGAGCCATTTCCATATCCAGGACAAATCTATCCTGGCTCCTGCATTTTGAAATTGTTCCTTCAATCTTAGGAAACTTGGAAAGGGATTTCTTGAGGGACAGAACAGCTTTTTATTTTAACTATATTGTATTTCTATGTATATTTACATAGAAATATGTATTTATATCTTTTGTGAAAACATATATTTACTTATATATACATTAATAGAAAATCAAACAAGACATCCTAAACTCTCTGGGGAAGCCACTTTCTATAAATCTAAAAGAGAAGTCAGTAGAAGACCCATGGTCTGTCTCACCAAGGTCTGAAAGTTTTTATCACTCCTCAGATCCCATAAGGATCAAGGATCAAACTCCCTTTTAATGAAGTCGCTGTTGGGGAAAGATGTCCTTTCTCGGGTTAAAAAAAGAAGAAAAGTGAAAAAGCAGTCATTTTACAGCCCAGTATAGTCTGCAGTTCAAACATTTCACACAGCTACCGGTGATCTTTTCTACTTAAAGAGCCTCATTCACAACCGCTGCCAGGCCCAAAAGTATCCAGATCAAGTTTCATCCAATTGAATTAACACTGGGACAAGAAAATGTCCATATAAGGCTGAGTTATTCCTGGGGTCTTCATAGTAGGCTATTTCAGGATTGTGAGCAGGGATTGTTTTACTCTGGGCTGTGGGTTGGTCACCCCTCCCCCAGGCAGCTCATTCAATTATTCACCCTTGAGTTATGCACAAATTCAAGTTGTAGTTCGAAAGACTGATTTATACATTGAAATTTAGTCCCCAAAGTCTCAGGATAGGATTCATTTTCCCTAAGGTTAAGCTTGATTCTTTCTTTATGTGGGCCCACTACTAGTATCTGCAAATGTGCTGTTTGCTTGCTTGCTTGCATTTCTTTTCTTTTTATTTATCTATTTATTTCTTTTTCTGTCTCTGGGATGTGAAATTTTCAAGAACATAAACTTTGGGTTCAAAAGGCAAAGTGTACCATTTGAGACACTTAGGGGCAGATGGAGAGGGAGGAGAGAATTTTTTTTACTAGAACCAAAAGGCTCCCTTTTCCCTTGCTATTGGATATGGACTAACCATTTCCCTTTCTGTTGAGGTTGATAAGCCCAGGAGAGAATCTGAGTTCTTCCCATTAATAGTAATCAGAAGTATGCACAAAACAAAACTTCTCCCATCTTCAGTGAGGACTGCTCTGGCTTTTCCCTGAGTACAGAAGTCCATGGGGGAGGCAAGCATACCTCTCCAAAGCTGCCTGCTTACCTTCTATCTTTTGTTTTCCATTTCTCCTGTGGTCTGGACTGATCCCAGCAGCACGGCAAATGGTCAAGGGGCACATTCAGATGCTGCTACTGCTGTTTCTTGTGTCTTGACAGATACCTGCGCCATGTCAACCAGGTATGTGCCCTACCCTGTACCCCAGGAAAACACGGAGGGCTTGGAAGTTAGTCTCCATCATTTAGGTCAGGGATTGGCAAATTGTTCCATAAAAGACCAGATTGTGGGCCGAGTGTGGTGGCGCACACCTGTAATCCCAATGGCTTCAGTGTCCTGAGACAGGAGAATTGTAAGTTCAAAGCCAGCCTCAGCAACAGTGAGGCGCTAAGCAACTCAGTGAGACCCTATCTCTAATAAAAATACAAAATTGGGCTGGGGATGTGGCTCAGTGGTTGAGTGCCCCTGAGTTCAATCCCCAGGTAACAAAAAGAAAAAGACCAGATTGTGTAAATATTGTAGACTTTGGGGCCAAATAGCCTCTGTGGAAACCACTTAACTCTGCCAGTGCAGCGGGAGAAGCCATTAACAAAGGTTGAATGAATGAGTATGGCTGTGTTCCAAAGAAACTTTTTTGGTGGATGCTGAAATTTGAATTTCATGTGACTTTCACATGTCAAGAGAGCTTCTATTTTTCCATCTATTTTTTTCCAACCATTTTAAAATTGTAAGAATCTTTGTTAGTTCCAGCCAGAGGAAAGCAGGTAGTATGATAGACTGGCCACCGAGCTGTAGTTTGCAGACCCCTGCCATGGAACTTTAGGCATAAAAGGCATTCTTCAAATTCTAAAAGAAATGTGTTTCTGTTTTCCAAAATAAAAAGGAAAAGGAAGTCTTTAGAACCCCAGCCTAGTGAATACATATCAACTAAGAGGTAATGTTCAGGGTCTTCTTTAAGAACTATAATTTTCCTGAGCTAGGAAAAGAATTGCCTCCCTACTTTTTATATATTTTGCCAGGCTTTCCCTTTCAAGCTATAAATATTCCTTTAAAATCATAAAAATGATATCCTGCAATTGTTTGAACTTTAAATTATTTTCTCTCCTGAATCTTCCAAATTGGTGGAAATTTAAATATATGTTTTGTTTTCCTGTAGATCGTTTAGGAAAGTTTAATGGCCCTTGTCAAATTTACACAAAGCAGTATTTTTGTAAGAGAGCAGGCTGCTTTACAATTTAAATGTTCATGCAAATCTCACTTCGAAATTATAATAATAGTACTTCTTATTATTACCCATCTTCTTAATAAGTGTACCCTCAGAAGTAAAGGGGCTAATTAGACCATCCATGTTTATGTCTTAAGTAGTATTTAAAATATCTTTCATTATTCAGGGAAAGTGTAGACTTCAGTACTATAATAGAACTTACGAGGAAGCGCTATTCTTAAGGCTTTTCTGAAGAATCTTGGAGTACCCTTTAGAGTGTGTTTAGTTTTCATTTGCATTGCCACAAGCCAGCACATATAAAGCACAATAAAATCCCATATCACCTTTGAAAATAGTGGAGCCAGAAGCAAGTCAAGACAAACCTTGGGAATACACTTGTCATGGGGTAAGATGCCATGCCTCTCTTCCCAGAGCTGTGTGTGTGTGTGTGGATCTGGACACCAACTTACTCCATGAAGATTTTTGAGATGCATTTCAAAAATATATGAACAATGGCAAGATTTTTTTTTGCACAAAAAGTCAAGACTAAGAAACATATAGGGGGCTGGGGATGTGGCTCAAGCAGTGGCGCGCTCACCTGGCATGCGTGCGGCCCGGGTTCGATCCTCAGCACCACATACCAACAAAGATGTTGTGTCCGCCGAGAACTAAAGATAAATATTAAAAATTCTCTCTCTCTCTCTCTCTCCTCTCTCACTCTCTCTTTAAAAAAAAAAAAAAAAGAAAAGAAACATATAGGGAGACTAGAAAGACAAAAACTATGACTATAAACCCATATGTTGGCCATAGGGTCCTCCTGGGCTCCAAGCTAGAGTTGCCATTCTCACCACTTTATGAAATTCAGATTCTTTCTGCCTCCTTCATTCACTCCTGGTTTCCAGCCTGCTCCACAAAAGCCTAAAGGTAGATGTTGCTGACATGGAGAAACCAAGAGGGCAGAAAAGCAGGTGAGGAGGAGGAAAGGTGGCCTAGCTCCATGCCACCCACCCTGCCTGGCCTTTCAGCCAGAGAGCTTCACTCTTATGTGGCTGAGGTGGGGCGTCTCCTGAAGCTTTCATGTGAAGATAGGATTCTGCCCCTAAATATATTTGAGAACCACTATCTCATACCAGCATTACATTTGTTCCCTCTTCCCTGTTATCCTGAGGGATGTGTTTTCTGCCTTCTGAAATTTCACCTCTTTATATGAACTCAGGACCTTTTCCCTTGGGGGTTCAGGGTGTTTATATTAAATCGTGTTGATATTAACCCCACTCTAATTACCAGGGTAGAGGGGGTGAAACCTTGTAACAGACATAGGGTGAGAGTGATCTCGAATCACAGAAAGGCTAAGCTGGTCTTGACCCGGCTCCTGTAGTGAATCAGTGGTGCAAGCAGGGGTAGGTCTTTGGAATTCCAATCACGGTGGCTGAGCACCAGGCTGTGACCTACACCAGCTGTCGCCATATCCTTACATGGGGGTGACGTGGTACAACTGACATGAACACTTCAAGGACTCCCGAGGTTTAGGAGATTGAGGAAGAAGAAGAGGAATAATGAAAAAGACAAAAGAACTGATGAGAATGTTGGCAGGGGTGGAGGTGGGGGTCACCTCTGATCTAAAACGACCACCAGAAAGCAGAATGAAGTAAAAATGTTTAAGGAGAAATATGGTAATTGTGAAATGGTGACCAGAGCTATCGTAGGTCTCATCTGGAAACAGACAAAGCAAAGTGAGCTGAGAGAGAAAAAAGGAATTCAGATTAGGCTTTTAAGAAATGTCCCAGCGTTGGAATGAGTGGCTAGGGGAGGCTTTGACATCTGTGTCTGGAAGTCAGATTTTGAAGGGCCGAGGGCCTACTTTATTTTCTTTGTTTTATGGAAGGGAAGCTGGGAAAAGAAAGCTACAAAGGGGTGAGATGCATTTGTCAGCCTTGGCACCCAGATGTTCTTCTCTCTTTAACATCAAGGAGCTGGCTGTGACTCACCATTGCTTTTGAAAAGCCTCATCCATCTTCACGGTGCCCTGTGAGGGGAACAGGTGACAGTTGTCACATTTTGTAGACACCCAAACTAAGATGGCACAGTAATTCACTTGCAGAGTGCGGAATAAAACCTCAAACTTCATCATTTCTAATCTACTTCTCTCTGCATCATAAATACTAAACGTGTATAAATTTTTTAAATTGTGTCGCCTCATGTGTTCATTTCTGTAACAACCATTTGCTTATTTACACTGGATGTGACCAGCTGAACCTGGCATTGTAAGTGTGGGGGACGAGGATTCAGAGTCAGTATCAAGCATAAGCTTGGCCTTCATGTAGTTGATAGGCTGTTTGGCGGAGAGAGGGGTGCAGTAGGGGGTATATGCATGAGACACTTATGTAAGTGGTACAAAAAAGTGCAGGTTAAGTGCTGGAATGAGGGCTGCAGAAGTTTAGAAAAGGAGAATCTTGGTAGTTAAAGGTCTTTTAATGCAATAATTAGGGTAATTCATAGAAGAGATAAGACCTCAGTGGAGCACTCAACAGAGATCAGAAGCTCATAAATCCCAATGATAGTTGTGGGAAGTTGGTGCTTGCTCTACTGCCAGTTGTAGCCTAAGCCCTTTTCCTACATTATATGGATAGCATCTCCGGTTCACAGATAAGGAAACTGAGGCTTAGAGAAAGCACACGGTGACAGAACTAGAAGTTGAATCCAAGCCTGTTTTGCATCCGGGACCAAACTCTTAACCCAAAAGTGTTTTTTCACCAGCCAGAGGATCCCGGACCACCATCCAGGGCTGTTCTCTGTAGCCAGCACCTTTCCAAGCTAGGACCAGACAAGCTAGTTTGCTGACAGAGCAAGTCTTGTTAGTGGCTGACTGATGGAGGACCGGAAAGGCGTAGGGCTGTCAAGGGCAGTGAACTCTGAATCATGCAATTGTAGAGGAGGAAAGCCATGTCAGGTGGGGCGACCCACCTCCACTCCTCAGGAAAGCCAGTGGTCCAAGCCTCTGGCAGTGTGGGCTAACTCATTTCAGAGACTTACAGGCAAGGAGCCCCTGTGTAGCCTCTCTGCTCCCTCCCAGCACTTTGGTGGGTCCTGTCTGAGAAGTCCCCTGTGGGACTGTGCAAGCTAACCACTCAGCAAGAAGGACATGCCTCTTAGTGCTTCATAAAGTGCCCACCTGCAGTTCCTTGTGGCAGTTCCTCCCCAAGTACACACAGGCATCTGTGCATCAGTGTTCCTCCAAGTGTGAAACCCGCTGGTGGGCACAGCACTCTTCCCAGCGGTTCCAAACTGATCTGAGCACTTCAGGAAAGCTCTTTCTCAATTTTTATAGGCAAATAGCAGAATTCTATAGATTTTCATGTTTTTCTATTTACCAATAAGTAAACTAAAGAGTGTTTTTTTAAAACTTATTGAAATAAGTTTGATAAACTTGTTTGATAAACCCAAATGGGTGTTTCATGAGAACTCATATTCATTATTCTGTTAAGATATAACACTGCTGCCGAGGTGAGGCCTCCCTGTGAAGTTTGTGAATGTGCACGGGCAGAGAATTGGGATTTTGCAAATTGCGGGTAGAACACCTTGCTACAACCAGTGTTGCCTTGAGTTGGCTGCGTTGTTTGATCGCAGTCATTCCTGGCGTAATGAACATTACACTTCCATCGATTACTCGGTTCTTATTTATTCATTATATTTTTGTCACCTTAAGCTTTGCCTTCCTTTTTGATCCTTTTTCCTTCTTCCAGAAGAAGTGGGAATAGGTAGGAAGTGAGCTGTGGGCTGATGTCAAAAATATTTGAGATATCTAGGTGTCGTGGCACATGCCTGTAATCCCACCCACTCAGGAGGTTGAGGCAGGAGGATCCCAAGTTCTAGGCCAGCCTCGGCAATTAGAGAGGCCCATAGCAAGTTAGTAAGACCCTCTCTGAAAATAAAAAATGAAAAGGACTGGAGATGGATGTGAAACCCTGGGTTCAATGCC